CGTGTTCACAATGCGCGCGTGTGCTGCTCCTGTGTGTGTACATTGAACATGTGCCAATTTCGTGTTCACAATGCATTGTAGTGACCCCTGTGTGTAAGACCACGGTCTGACCGGCCGCTATCGAGTTTCTCGCATGCACGCAAGTGCTTCCATTTGCTCCGCAGGGGAAGGTCGCGCGCGTTTAATGTAAAAATACTGCGCGCCCATGCGTGCGTGTTATGTACGCGCGCGCGCGTGCGTTAAAGGTTTTGTGGGCAGCGGTTTTTTTCATTTCAGTTTCATCTGTTAGGTATGGCCCTGTGAGCCATGAGGCTCTTGACTCGGGTGCTACGGCAACAAACAAAAACGGTAGCTGGAGTGGTTAGCCCACCGAGTTACGAACCAGTGCATCATAAGTTCGAATCCTGCTCGCGGTCAACAGCAGCGACGAATATCTGAATTGGGTCTGGGTATGTAAACATCAACATTGGAGGGGGGGGGGGGGGCATGGTTCTGGCAACATAGGTGCCCTTTAACAGCGCTTTCCGCAAAAGTCTATGCAGGCTACACGGGGGATATTTGTCAGTGGCGACAGCCTTCGATACACAGAACCGTGATAGTCTCTTCAGCTTCGGGTCCGCACACAACACCAATGGCATGAACCTCATCCATCGTCACCACACGCAGAAGCAAAAGTGTTGCTGCGTTTGGTAGCATCACCGTTGCTGAATAACACTGGCGTCAAATGAAACGGAAAAAAATGGGATGTGTAACAGGCGACGTTTCAGGCAACGGCCCGTCCGCAGTGAAGCATGTGTTTGTCTTCTATTATATCCCTTGCCTGGTCGTGGGTTCGGTGCTCGACCCTGACGGCCTGCTGTATATATTTGGAGTTTGCGTGTTTTCTCCGTTCGTCGCGAGGATTTTTCTCCGTTTCCCTCCGGGTCCACTCCCCCCACCTCTCCACATTTAGAATCAACATCACGCGTTTAGATTATTTGACTGCTACTATACATTTCCACGCGGTAAGCCACTTCGTTGAGCTATCATTTATGATTGCCGGGTCGCTTCTTTAAAAAAAGAGCTATACAGCTCAGTGGACCCGTACCTGATAAAATAGAAATTAAATAGAACGCCGTCAATCATAAGCCGCGCGAGACCGATCCCCGTGTGAACAGAGAGGCGTCTTCGCGAACGTGAATGCAGAACTCTCACCCCGAACCTGCACGGCCGCTGATATCCATCTCGCTACCCGACTCTTGGTTCTTTCGGTAAAGTCACGTAGGTAGAAAAAAATATATTAATAAAAAAAATAAAGTGAATAAAAAATATCACGACGTTTCGTGCGCAAAGTCACGTAGATAGAAAAAAAAATATTAATAAAAAAATAAAGTGAATAAAAAATATCACGACGTTTCCATCGCAACGCACGGTGCGCTAACCGCTTCGCTACCGCTCGCGAAGCCCATCCAATATGTCCTGTATATTTGATATGTGTAGAATACAATTCACGATAGACGATAAGTGCGTGTGTGGGCGTGTGTCTTTGAGCCCTGCAGTAGAGAAATAAAAACACCTCCCATCTCCCCCCCCACTCCCTACACCTTCATCCAGACATAGACCGACAACAAGGATTGTTGTCAGATAAAGATCCCCCTGATATAGACTAAATATAATGTTGGGGCAAGGGCTGTTATAACGAGCACCTCCGAAATGCCGGAACGGTCCATCAGGGAGTGGGTTGGACAGCAGCACGCCCGACCGCCTTTGGAGAAGTTTGCACACCGCACCAGGCACTCATTTGAGGCCGAGTAGACCTAGGGAAGGCCCAGGACCGGTTCAGATAATCGTCACCGATGGTGTTGGTGGACGTGATCGGGAATCGAACTCGGATCGCCGGGTTCGTTGCGCAACGCGCTAACCGCTAAAAACTCGTGCCCCATGCGGCTCCCATCTTCGGAATCACGAATCAGACCGAATCATTTGGGAAACAGAGGCCTGTGGAATATTATTCCGTGAAGCGCATTCATTGTACATCGTAGCGTAGGAAAAAGAGAGAGAGAGAGAGTGAGAGAGAGTCTCAGGTCAAGTCACCTGCACGCCTTGCGTGCACATGGCCACCGTACTCTGCCCCGTGCACGCACCCACTGCTGCACACGCGGCACGCATTAGTGCAGTGCGTGTGCACTGTGTATGTGTGCTATGTGCAGTGTGTGTGTGTGTGCAGTGTGTGTGTGTGTGCAGTGTGTGTGCACTGTGTATGTGTGCTATGTGCAGTGTGTGTGTGCAATGTGTGCGTGTGCACTGTGTATGTGTGCAGTGTGTACGTGTGCACTGTGTATGTGTGCAGTGTGTATGTGTGCACTGTGTATGTGTGCTGTGTGCAGTGTGTACGTGTGCAGTGTGCAGTGTGTGTGCAGTGTGTACGTGCGCAGTGTGTATGTGTGCAGTGTGTATGAGTGCAGTGTGTGTGTGCAGTGTGTACGTGTGCAGTGTGTGTGCAGTGTGTATGTGTGCAGTGTGTATGAGTGCAGTGTGTGTGTGTGCAGTGTGTACGTGTGCAGTGTGTGTGCAGTATGTACGTGAGCAGTGTGTGTGTGCAGTGTGTATGTGTGCAGTGTGTATGAGTGCAGTGTGTATGAGTGCAGTGTGTATGAGTGCAGTGTGTGTGCAGTGTGGTGCAGTGTGTGTGTGTGTGCAGTGTGTACGTGAGCAGTGTGTATGTGTGTACGTGTGTATGTGTGCAGTGTGTATGAGTGTAGTAAGGGGCCATACATTCAGTAGGTACGCAAAAATATGTCAAAACTTGACCCCTCTCCCCCTCCCTGTATGTACGCGAACTTTTACACCTATAGAACCGCCGATATTTAATCTACGCAGAAACGATAATGGATGCACAATATTAACGTGTTTAAGCAAACAGATAGTCCACCGCCGGCTGCATTAAATAATAGAGTTGCGTACCTGTCAAAAGTTTGTCTGGTGTCCGCTCGGTTCAAACGCCGACTGAACCCAGTCGAACAGGTGACGTATTCTAGGGATTTCGCCAACAGGCGCGGTGTCAGGCTTGAAGCACAGCAGCGCGATAGCGAGCAGTCACGGGCACGGTGGCATACCAGTGGCACCTCTCCCACAGTCCCACTTCTCCCGGTAGCACTTGTTGTCTGACAGCTGAAGAAACTGAACTGTGGCTCATTTGAAGGCCAATCTAGACAAATTATTATGGAGGCTTCAACCCCACCCCCCGTTACCTATGCTACGTACATTGTCAGTAGGCCCCCCATGCGCCAGCGTACGCATTTGGGTTAACCCCCCCGCCTACCCCCTCCATGCGTACGTACTAAATGGATGGCCCCTAAGTACGCGTGCAGTACAAGGCCGTAAAATATATTCAAATATGCTCAAAATGTCCCCCCCCCCAATATATTGCTATAAAATAGATTTCTATTTATATGATTGTGGTTATGGTTGTAATTTATTAATCCCTAATCTCTGCCATTACATACAATGAAACAAGAAATGGTATAAAAGAAAAAAAACAGAGCAATGTAATACAATACACTTTTAGACATTGTTAAAAATAAATAAAAAGTCCATCCTATGTGTTAGTGATTTATTTTTATATTTTAGGCAGGAAATTAGTTTTCAAATTTAGATTTTTTTTCTTGGGGGGGGGACCCACAGACCCCCTGGAAGATTTGGTCTCCCCCAATGTTTACTCCATGGCTACGGCCTTCGTGCAGGGTGTATGTGTGCAGTAAGTACCTGTGCAGTGTGTACGGGTGCAGTAAGTACCTGTGCAGTGTGCAGTAAGTACTTGTGCAGTGTGTACGTGTGCAGTAAGTACCTGTGCAGTATGTGTGCAGTAAGTACCTGTGCAGTGTGTATGTGTGCAGTAAGTACTTGTGCAGTGTGTACGTGTGCAGTAAGTACCTGTGCAGTATGTGTGCAGTAAGTACCTGTGCAGTGTGTATGTGTGCAGTAAGTACCTGTGCAGTGTGTATGTGTGCAGTAAGTACCTGTGCAGTATGTATTTGTGCAGTAAGTACCTGTGCAGTATGTATGGGTGCAGCAAGGATGTCTCCAGTACGTGTACAGTAATTATGTGTGCAGTATGTGTGTGCAGTAAGTACGTGTGCGGTAGGTATGTGTGCAGTACGTGTGCAGTGATTGTGTGTGCAGCATGTACTGCACACGTGCTGCATGTGTGCAGTACGGGTGTTAGTATTTGCTTCATGCAAGCTCGCCCGCAAATGTCTTTAAATACACGTTGAATGCATTAATGTTTTAAATAAAGAACCATTTAATTATACTATGAAATCTAAATTTACTTCACGTCGCTATATCGTTATCTATATGTAATGTTACAATTACTTCTGCTGTTGTCCTATGTACGTATATATATAAAATAAAAGCACCGGCTATACAGCTTATCTCAGATACACAACGGTAGTCGCTAAAGTTTCCTGCCTGCGTCCCCTAAAACCCCGTCCATGTTCAATCCACTGCTAGAGGAGAGGCTTCCCCACGGCTTCCCTGGTCGTTCGGAATACATTTCACCATACCTCGCCACGCGGGCCCGCCCTGGTGAGGCGTAACACCTCGCAAATGGAGCCGATTATCGCCTCCCGGTAATATTCGTGCTGTGTACGACACTGTGCGACAACGTTTACAGAAAGCGAAACACACAGCACGTGCGCATCGCTGCGAGAACCTCGCGATCAGTATAATGCTAGAGGAGGAAAGGAGGTTGGGGGGGGGGGGTGGGAGACTGGCGCGGGGCCTGGCAAGATCTCACGATTCGGTTGGCGAAACATCCCTAGATGAAATCACCACGGATGGCGAAGAACCGTCTTCTGGAGGCGAAGCATATTTCCTCACTCGCAATTGTGTTGATGTCCGGGACGCGTTACCATCTTTACCAAACGGTCGAAACTAAACCCACAACCTCCCATTGTTACAGGTGATACATTATTGCATATATTGTGTAGATGGGAAACTTACTTCTTCAGATTTTTTTTACGTTTAGTTTGTTTTGGCATTCCACCCGCACCTCAGATTATCGCGGTTTGGCTACGTACGGTGCGAAAGATATGCAACATACATACGTACGGTGATCAATTTAGAGACACCGCGCTTAGTGGTACAGAGAGTAAGCAACATGTATTAAATGTTCGTATCCTCCAAAGCAAACCTCCGTTCTCATGTATTCTTCACCTATAATGCTTCACAGCAACGAGACCAAAACAAAATAACGGATGATATTGGTTTGGAAAGACAATATGTCGAGTGAATAAAACGTAGTTTATTTATATGTGGCACCGAATTTAATTATGTAAAACATTACACATTATGTGTATAAACGTTATTTTCGGAGGAGCTGCTGTGTAGTGGTGAGCGCGCTGTACTGGCAATCCAAAGGTTGCCGTTTCAATACCATCTTCTGCTGCGACAGTAGAAATAATAAAATTACTGAAAACACAACACCGTAAAAAAAACCACTGAGGCCTTAAAGATGAAAAAAAATGACAATGATGATAAGTGGAAGTTTCGGTCAATGGCCCTTCTTTGTTGCACGTACGATCAGAAATAATAGGCGAGTTCTTCAGCAGAGACCCTTCAACCATGCAGATCGAGCGAATAATTATCAATGGCAGATTCATCCCAGCACGTGCGTAATCGCCGAGCCACGCGGTCGCGTCCTCGCTGGCTGCGTGTCGCTCTCGGTAGCCCTCCGGTGAACCTAATTAGAGGGCGATCATTAACGATACGCCACGTTGTGTTTTTTTTTTTACAAAGCCACAACTGCAAGTCTGGAGATCGTCATGAAGGCATCAACGGTGGAGGTTGTCCGCACATAGGCGTTGCTCTGTGTCGGGAACCTGTCCAGCAGAGCCCATTGGCGACGTGGCAGTGTTGGAGCCTGCACGTGGACAGACTTTGACCGTACGATCCGCGATAATGAACTGGACTAGGTGCTGAAATACCCCTCCATTCCTCCTGGTCTCTGCCAAGCAGTCCAACGCCACGTTGGGTGTTGTGATTATGGGAACCGTGCGGTAACCGTCCGGTATAGGTGGACGTCGGGGATATTCGTTGTAGCTGTGAAGGGTTATGATGGTCGGCGTATGATCTTCACCAGGTGGGTTTTTTTTGCTCGTTGACAACTTCCCCGTCGGATGTGCGAAGGGCGGTTGCCCGTGTTGCTCGGGACCCAGGGGAGCGGCAGCTGCGAACACTCGGTCGCGTGTTCGCCAAGAGAAGAGACGTTTGCGGGACAAGGGAAGAATTGGGCGAATTCGCCGACAGCACGTGGAGCGACGCTGTCACCGCCGCCACCGCCGCCGCCTCGCGTTCTGCCCGTCCCCGTCCGTGGCACGGCGCGTGCTTCTATAGCCCCGTAGATATATTTATATATATGTTTTGACTCGGTCGTTTTTTTCTCTAAACACATGACTCTGGGCAGCACTTCAAAGCGCCCGAAAATTAGCAACAGATTTTCCGGACGAGTTGCCACGTGATGCCGGTACGCGCTCCGTGCTCTCGGTCCGTGCGTGCGCTGTGCCGCGCGTGGTGTGAGCTGTACACGACGTTCCAGCACCATCATCGCCGCGTTACGTGCGATGCGCGCAAGTGCGCTCCATTGACGTCAGGCAGGACTGGAATTGTACACCGCGTGAGATGAGTTTTTTGTTGTTGTTGTAAAATATTTATATATAAACTATCCCCAAAAGTTAATTGTGATAATAAAAAAAATATTGGCCGTCTAGAGACGGAGTAACCACCCCCCCCCCCCTCTCATTTTGTAGTCATAATTAATAATCGTAATAACCAACGTTGATGAGTGCATGGATGTCACGCGAGTTGTGCGAACATACGAAAGAACGAATTGTATTCATGTCAGCTCCTTCGTCAGTCAATTCACGGCGGTGGGATGAGGACCTCCCTCGTGACGGTTTGCGCTACGGGGTAATTACGCGAGCGAGCACCCATTAAGATTTGCGTATGACAGCACGGGGGTTCCTGGCGTGGCTAGCACTACGCCAAATTAGAACCGGTTCAGATAGCACGAGCCACTGATGTTAACCGTGGCCGGGAATCAAACCTAGATGGTCGGCTTCACAGTGCCGCGTGCTCACCACCGCGCGTGTAGTAACTACGCGCACATATACAGTATACGTATACTGCATCATAATAGTAATTTTATCTCTCTCGCAGCGGCTGACGGGGCGCGTTGCAGCCACGCGTTAAGTTGGCTCTAGCAACTGCCCAAGCTCTGCGGTCATCCACGTAGGTACGTGTGTACGGTACACTATATCGCAGCGTGGATACAAGAGGCGGTATGCAGCAGAAGGAGAAAAATACCAGCTGACATGATTTAAAGAGAGCACGTTTCTTTATTAATGCATCGATTCGTAAATGGTGCAGTCTGTAAGTACATCGATAGGATGTTGCTTCATCGGCAGCAGCAGCTATGTACATCGTAACCGAAGTGACGGGACGCCGCTTCGCAACAAACAAACCAAAATGAATCGGCGAGTTCCGTAACAAAATCATATCGCGGCGGCACTTAAAAGGGAATCAATAAGTTACATGCAAAACATCGTGATGCGCAAAGTGTTGACATTAGTTCTCCCCCTCGTTCAATCTCAACAATTGCTCTCTATGTACATTCTTGTATTTTACAAACGATGCGAGTACACGCCGATTAAGTTAGAAATTCCATGTACAACCCAAAAAAGGCACTGCTGGATCATCGTACAAATGAGGCTCCATGCGTCTTTGACAGGAGCTCCGCGTAGCCCGCGTGTCTGTGTGTGTGCGCTCCCACAGTCTGTTAAAACACCTTAACGTGGAATCTTTGCTTTGAGTACGTATGTGCGTGTGAGCTAGGAGCGATGCAACAGGCGGTGCATGCGATGATGACGATGCCTCTGCCATTAACCTCAGTCAGTCATCCCGTAACATCTGGGTCTGGCCTATGACCCTCTGCCTCTTGACGCACTTGACCCCCAACGTGCACCTAGCCTGGTGCGGCGAGCACGGCGGTGACGTCGCCACCCCTTAGCGGCGAGTCGTATCTACGTGCAGGAGTGGGCTCGTTGTATAACATCCCTTTCCCTGAGGCTAGCAACGCTATAACCAAGACGGACTCATTAATCCACTCGCTCGCGAACTATGAACGGGGAAGTCCTGTCGACGCAATGGTTGTTCATCTGCCGCGTGGGACAAGTGTGTGTGTGGGGGGGGGGGTTCATGCGGGGGGGGGGGGCGCTCGGGATAGGAGAGTTCACCACGCAAGCACCGCGGGTGCTAACACACAGCCCCATGCTGCACCCAGCCTCGTGTGCACGCACGCGTCTATGTGTGTGTGCACGTGTGCGTGCGTTACGCACGTGTGCGTTGGAACACCGCGTTCGTTAAGTTAGTACACTGCCGAAGTGGCGCCACTTACATTCGGCTGCGCTAGCGCCAGCAGTGACGGCGGACTGTGCCTGAACGCGGTGGGACCTCCGCTCTGCTGCTGCTGTTGCTGCTGCTGTTGCTGCTGCTGCTGCTGGTGCTGCTGGTGCTGCTGGTGCTGCAGGTACCAGGGCGGCACGGGCGAGTAGGGGTGCTGCGGGAGGTGGTGCGGGGCTTGCAGTGCGGCCGATGGGACCCCTAGACCCCCAGCGGGGCTCAAGGGTGACTCCCAGGGCGCTGTCACTCCGTGCAGGAGTGGGGCGGCAGAGCCGAGCTGCTGGTGTTGCCGGCCCGGAGATGCGGGGGAGTTGCAGGCCATCGGGTCGCTGCTGCTCGGGCTGGCTTGTGCAGGCGCCATCTCGCCGTTCTTGCCCAGCTTCTTGAACTTGGAGCGCCGGTTCTGGAACCAGATCTTCACCTGTTGCGAGGATGGGATGAATTGGGGGGGGGTGAGATATGAGGATGTTGATGATGATGCTTTGTAAATTCTACATAGTCGTCATTCGTGCCATAATGCATACATCGCCGTCATCCATACATGTCATTATTTTCGTTCAAACCTCAATCATCATCAATATATCAATCATCATACATATACATCATATATCCATCGTCATCCATACACACGCTACATCATCACCACTTCAATTATTATCATCATCAAGCAAACGTCCATCATCGTCATCATCATCATCCATTCAACATGTCAACGACCAACACCTTTAATTAATAATGCACAATGCAACATGTATAACACAACGGGGACGCATGCTATAAGAGGAAACAAAGTATATGTTGAATATAAAAGTAGTGTTTCATGTAGGCCTACTGCAAAACGAGTACACAAATAATATATAAGTAGACAACTATTGCACTAAATGATGTACTGTGTACAATTTGTATTCATCTTGTGTTAAGATAAATGTAAAAAAAACCTCATTACCTGCGCCATTAACACCATCCTATAACAGAAATTATTTACTAAGCTGATGTTTTGGGGAATGACCCTTCTGCAGAGCAAATACAGACCAAGAAGGACTGCGTTGTATATCTGGTGTTGGATCACTCTCCATATTATTTGGGGCCTTGTGAATACTCCTGATACGTTATGCTATGCTGTACATTATCTTGCAGGGTTAATGATGATGTGAGATCTTTTTTTAAACTTGCACAGTAGTTGTACAGCACTGCATAACGAGTCTCCATTGTAAATTTTTCAACAAGTAAATAATTAGTGCAATGAGAGTTTACTGGTCTTTGCTATGGATGGGTTAATAGAGCAGTACCCTAACCTCACCCCCCCCCCCCCCGAATGTGGTTGCTTGCACCAAAATATAATAACGCTTGGATACAAAAAAAAAATTTCAGCACTGTAATCAATACAGCATTGTATACTGTATCTAATGAGCGGGGTTTTTTAAATGTTTCATGTCCGAGATTATATTCCCGTGTACGTCATGACCTCGACGCGAGTGCGTTCATTATGCACGTACGAGTACATTTCAACATTCCAGTTTCGTGTGCTCTTGGCGACATTCATATATCTCGACGGGAAACTCTACTGGGGCCCGCGCTTACGGGTGTCCTCTGGAGTACATCTAAATGTGCATGCATAACGCGTTGCTGTGGAGTGTGGAACGATCTCACCATGAATAAATTGCACGGCGCGAGGGCCAATTCATCCAGCGGTGGATTTGACAAAGAGGCTGAAGTAATTACAATTCCTATGCTGTAAATGTGTGTTATCAAGGCGGTCGGGCGTGGTGTTGGCTACCCACCCCCTCGTGCGCCGTTCCGGCCTTTGTCAGGTACTCGCTTACAGCACTTGCCCTAACACACTTTGTGTGTGATAGTTGTGTTATTGGTATATATATAGTTTTTATGTTGTCCTTAATGTGCTAATACGCGCCATATTCTGTATTCACAATTATTTCTTTTGCAGTCTGAAAGTACATTGACATTTTTTAAAAGATACAAATGCACATTGTAATATGGTAAATTTTTCGTCGTTAAATATGCATTTATGTAGATCAATTAAATAGTGACCAATGTATCAGCTGGTTAAATTACGTACGTTTATATATATACATGCACACATATACACAAAATTAAATCGTCTCGGTCACATATCTTAAAATATTAACATCGCATAGCGTACATCAGGAGTTAATTGCACTGTTATCCACAACATAGAAATATAATATTAAAATACACATTTTAATTGCAATTATTACGCGTGCGTGTAAGTAGTAAGCCCTAGCCTGTCCGACAAGTGACGAGTCACGGAAGCACAAACGCGTGAATAAATAACTACGCGTGTATTCCAGCGCGGTCCAATTTAAACTGCAAGCATCTCGTAATAATATAATTACGGCAATCTTAATTCAGCACGCGTCTGAACACAGGTGGCATGCCTCGCAGGTAAACACGGCTGGAAACTGCAGACGGCTATGCGCAATGTTGCCTACAGCACGCGGTCAGCTATTTACACCCACCACACACAGAGACCGAGCAATGTCCCCCTCCCCCCCCCGCGCACCCCGTAGAGGCTTTACAGACTGCTGGGGCAAGTGCTGTCTGCGAGCACATATGAAGGTCGGCACGGCACACACGGAGGGGGTGGGTCGGCCAGCATCACATCCGTGCTGCCGTTGCCTCCCCAGCGCGCGATGTTTTTGACACACCGCACCAGGTACTCGTCTGATGCTGAGTCGACCTAGGGGAGGCCCAGGTCCGGTTCGGATAATCGTCGCTGGTGTTGTTGGTGGACGGGTTCGCAGCGTGGCGCGCTAAGCGCTACACCACCGCTCCCCCACAACGACGGACAAACAAAGACATACACACACAAGAGCGCATATACGGTACAAACACACACACACAGCCAAACGTGCACACGGCTGAATCTTAATTTGAAGTCACAACCGCGAGTTTCCTGGCTCGTGAAACCCGCGTTAGCGTTGCGCACGAATTGGACAGAAAAGTTACGCAAAAAGCTATTTGAAAGCTGCATCCTCCAACTTGCCCCTGGCAGGCAGCCCGCCTGCTGATGCTGCTGCTGCTGCAGCATCAGCAGGCAGCCCGCCTGCTGATGCTGCTGCTGCTGCAGCAGGATCAGCAGGCAGCCCGCCTGCTGATGCTGCTGCTGCTGCAGCAGGATCAGCAGGCAGCCCGCCTGCTGATGCTGCTGCTGCTGCTGCTGCAGTAACGCCCGCGACGAGGCGTGGACCAGGGGCTGAGCAAACGCCGTGGATGCGTAGGAGCAAAAAAACAGGTTTCCGAAAGTAACACAGTATAGCAGTGCTGGTGATGATGATGTTGCTAATAATAACAAAACTAATCAATTTCAATATCGGTACCCGAATGTGCTTTTGCAAGTTGTAAATCAGCACAAGCGTAAGTTGTAAATCAGCACAAGTGGTTGGCCCAGGATTTATCCCCACAAGTAAAAGTGTCCGATGTGTCTCTCTCCTCGCACGCAAAGCAATGAATAGGGTGCTCGTAAATCGTTGGCGGTCCTGGGTAAATGAGTGGAAATTCCACATTCTCGCGGCGGCGGGGAAGGGGGGGGGGCGGGGATTGTTATTTTTTTAAAATATTCCAAATGTTGAGTTTATTTTTTAAGACTACGGTAAACTCCACTCGCGGTGTCAATGGCGCTAGACGGCGGTGTGTTGGAGCAGCGACGACCGGCGGGACTGGGTATGAGACTCGTACAAAGCGTCTCGACTGTGTGAGAGTGATGCGCGCGCGTCCCTGATCACACTACGAAGCTTCTGCGGGAACCGCGACGCGGGAACCAAACGCGGCCGAGAAGAGACGCCCAGGGCGATATTTAACAATACAAGGCGATTCGCAACAATACAACGTTATATATAACAATACAAGGCGATTCTCAACAATACAACGTGATATATAACAATACAATGTGATTCGCAACAATACAACGTGATATATAACAATACAACGTGATATATAACAATACAACGTGATATATAACAATACAACGTGATATATAACAATACAAGGCGATTCGCAACAATACAACGTGATATATAACAATACAAGGCGATTCGCAACAATACAACGTGATATATAACAATACAACGTGGTATATAACAATACAACGTTATGCATTACAATACAACGTGATATATAACAATACAACGTGATACATTACAATACAACGTGATATATAACAATACAAGGCGATTCGCAACAATACAACGTGATATATAACAATACAACGTTATGCATTACAATACAACGTGAGATATAACAATACAACGTGATATATAACAATACAACGTGAGATATAACAATACAACGTTATATATAACAATACAACGTGATATATAACAATACAACGTGAGATATAACAATACAACGTTATATATAACAATACAACGTGATATATAACAATACAACGTGATTTATAACAATACAACGTGATGTTTAACAATACAACGTTATATATAACAGTACAACGCGATACATTACAATACAACGTGATACAATACAATGTGATATAACAATACAACGTGATTTATAACAATACAATGTGATATATAACAATACAACGCGATATAACAATACAACGTGATTTACAACAATACAACGTGATATATAATAACAGGTGATACATTACAATACAACGTGATACGTAACAATAAAATGTGATATATAACAATGCAACGTGATATATAACAATATAACGCGATACGTAACAATACAACGTGATACAGTACAATGCAACGTGATACATAATAATACAACGTGATACATAACAATGCAACGCATTACGTAACAATACAACGTGATACGAAACAATGCAACGTGCTATATAACAATATAACGCGATACGTAACAATACAACGCGATACGTAACAATACAACGCGATACGTAACAATACAACGCGATACGTAACAATACAACGTAATACATTACAATATAACGTGATACATTACAATGCAACGTGATACATTACAATATAACGCGATACGTAACAATACAACGCGATACGTAACAATACAACGCGATACGTAACAATACAACGTTATACATTACGCTACAATATGATACATTACAATGCAACGTGATACATTACAATATAACGTGATACATAACAATACAACGCGCTACGTAACAATACAATGTGATACATAACAATACAACGTGCTATATAACACAACAGAACAATCTGATACGTAACAATACAACACGGGACGCAACAACACACCGCGCTTTAAAATATTCTACGCGCACGTAAACGTATTAACCAACACACAAACTTAGAAATCAACACAAACATATAAATCAACACACAAACACATACACCAACACGAAACATAACCAACACGCAAACATAACCAACACGCAAACACATAAACCGACACACTAACACATACACCGGCACTCAAACACATAAACCGACACACTAACACATACACCAACACATAAACCGACACACTAACACATACACCAACACGAAACATAACCAACACGCAAACATAACCAACACGCAAACATAACCAACACACTAACACATACACCAACACATAAACCGACACACTAACACATACACCAACACATAAACCGACACACTAACACATACACCAACACATAAACCGACACACTAACACATACACCAACACATAAACCGACACACTAACACATACACCAACACATAAACCGACACACTAACACATACACCAACACATAAACCGACACACTAACACATACACCAACACATAAACCGACACACTAACACATACACCAACACATAAACCGACACACTAACACATACACCAACACATAAACTGACACACTAACACATACACCGGCACGCAGTCGACCCCAGACACAGCCGCGCATTTAAACACACAAACGGCACATTGTAGGCGTGATTCCTTACGAAACGACATCACCACCATCGTCGTTAACCGATGATCAAACCACTGCTGGATCGATCGTACTTCCACATCGTTTATGATGATGATCGACGTCGATGATGATGACGTCGGTTTGTAAATATGTGTATATTTTAAAAATGTGTGTATTTGTTCATAAATCCCCCCCGGCCCCGTAAATGCAACAGCCGCCAAGGGGATTCATCGAGACGGCCAGCGAGGATCGATTGAGTCAAATTGCCTCGGTGAGCGGTGCCACCTTGAGTCTCGCGCCTCCACTCCACCGCTCGCCACCACCACCACCACCGGGACCACGGCGCATTTCCCAGCGAGTCGCTCAAACTAGCCACGAGGTGGAAGTGCCTGGAGTCGACTATTTGAATCAATCTGTGCGGAGCTTCGGGTGTTACTGCTGATGGGTGTACCCCCCCCCCCCCCACCGCGTACTCCTCCAGTTTCCTGCCGCATGAAGCAAGACAGCTCATTACTGGCAATGGTCAAGCATCGCGTGAAATATAAGGCCCTCTTTTAAAAAAGGTCTTGGTACGACTCAATGACTATTTTGTGTGAATACATTAATAAATAGCATCGGTGATGTTTTCTATATGTATAATATGCGTTTGTCGCTTCTGGTAGATATTATTTTTGAGTCTCTTAAACTTGCATTATAGTCCAAAGTAATAATATTATCACGTACACAAATAGGTATGTGGACATAAGCGATCACGACATATATACGCGCGCAAACGTTATGAATACACGCACAGAGAAGCATAGGATATGGCACATTTGTGAGTGTCAGATACAATGCCGTTGATGGAGACTCACGATAAAGATTCGTGTTCTTCGGCTTCGGCGTCAATTCCCGAGACTCGGAGTACCGGGGTAAACAAGGCAGCGGTCGTGAATTCATTTAGAGTGTTTGGATGCTATCGTTTGCGATAGTCGGCTCGCTTCTGAAAGAGAGCTATTATAGCTCAGTGGTGAGCCTTGCCTGGTAAAGTAAAATACAAATTGTAGTGTCGTTGATTCGCGGCTTAACCTGCTCACCAAAAAAATTACTCTAACCCCCCACCCCCACCACCCATATGTTACTGGACTTTTACTAATTTCACAAAATTATTGCTAACTTTTTATTCCTAACTCTCAAGTAAACAAAACAATAAATGAAGCGGAAGAAAATTAAACTTATATATTCACACAGAAAAATCTCATGAGAGTTATTTTTTTATCAACACATTCGTCAATAATAGTGTGGCATTAAAATGAAACATAACTAGCGGCGTTTCGGGCATCGGCCCTTCTTCAGAGCACATACATTCCCATAAGATCAAGTTGTGGTTAAAATATCTGGCTAACTGGATTTGGGAATTTTACTTATCGCGCAACGATTATCTGAACCGGTCCTGGGCCTCCCATAGGTTGACTTAATAACTCTTCATCAGTGCCATCGTCCCCCGAGCTCCTTTCACTCGGAATGAGCCCTCGTTCAACTCTGAGTGACAAAAACTTAACTGACGGATCGACCGTGACGAATATACACACTCGCAAGGCGTACAGCAGCGAGGCCTCTTACCAAACAAGAGTACTGTTATCCATGGGCAACGCACACGTTACAAACAATGATTTAATTCATCAGCCTGTTCGCTTTTCACATCCAACATCATCAAGCGGAATGTGTACCAGGGAGCAAACTGTACATCGGTTTCGAAAATCACCGGGGTTCTCATCAGCAGACTCACGCTCGGCTCAATAAACAAACGCCGCCGTAGGTTAGCGGATGTTCTTGGCAAGAACGCTCCGCATGTATGTATATACACAGCGAGATCATTCCCGCTTCACGCATGCAGAAGCGGCAACGCACGGCGCGTAATTTGGGGGGGGGCGGAAGGGGTGGTGTTTGGGGGGGGGGGGGGGTGGGGTGGCGATGAAACGTTGACATCTTCCCTTCACTTCCCCCCGCGCAGGCAGAAAAATAAAGGGGGGAGAGTCGAGCAACTCACACTCGTACCGCACCTGAGTCTGCGTGAGTCCCAGGGAGGCGGCGAGCTCGGCGCGTTCGGGCAGCGCCAGGTACTGCGTCTGCTGGAAGCGGCGCTGCAGCGCGGCGAGCTGGAAGCTCGAGTAGATGGTGCGCGGCTTGCGGATCTTCTTTGGTTTCCCGTTCACCATGCGCACTCCACTCTGCCTCGACTCCTCCTCCTCCTCCTCGTCGTCGTCTTTGTCCGCCGCTGCGCCGAAGGCCAAGGCACATCACGCGGGACTTATGAGTTCGAGACCGTGTACGATGAGTTCGAGACCGTGTACGGGCGCGAGTGTGCGTGCGCGTGTGTGTGCGTGCGTGGCCAACGCCAGTGATGATTATTATCGGAACCGGTCCTAGGCCTTCCCTACGTTGACTCAGTCTCAAATGGGTACCTGGTGCGGTGTGTAAACATCGCCACTCGGGAGACAAAGGCGGTCGGGAGTCGTGCTGGCCACCCATCTCCTCGTGTGCCGTTCCGGCCTTTCATAGAACTTGCCCCAAAAGTATGTTGAGGCTATACGGGGGTCTTTGTATTGTGAGCGTACAATGCGGTGGTGATTAAAGAGATTGCGCGTGCGATTATACTCTGTTTTTGTTTAGCGTCTTGAAATAAAAAAAGTATATTCTGTGCAACCTCTCTCGATTCTAATAATGCGTATTAACTATTTTCGATCGCATCTTCTAAAGTTATTCTTTGTTGCTATCCGCATCGCGTTCTGGACCTTTGAGCCTCCCCTTCAGCAAATGTATTAAGTTTGAATGTGCGCGTACTTCCGCGACTTTAAACCACATTGTTTCGTGGCGAGTTTAATTCTAATTATGAATAGGGATTTATAAACACAGTCCGGGTTTCCTGAAGGAGGCCAGTTGCCCAAAACGTCGAGATGCAGATTTTCTCTGAGTGGCGGCAAACAAACCTGTTCACTGAAGCGGAGAATGTATACAGTATAACCTGCGAATGTGCACATATATAGTTGAAAATAAACTGCGTGTAATAGACCACACGTGTGTACACTTAAAAAAAAAGAAATAAACCAGCATCCCACGCGCAGTCATACCAACTGTTGGTGACGGTTTATATTAGCAAGCACCTATGAAGGCCCGTACGGCGCACAAGCAGTTGGTATCATTCCCACAACAGCACACCGTACCAGATACTTATTTAAAGCTGAGTCGACCTAGGGGATGCTAACCGTGGCCGGGAATTGAGCTCATCTCGCCAGGTTCAAAGCGCAGCGTCCGATCCACTGCGCCGCCACTGTCTGTATACGGTGCGTGTTCTCCGAAAACCGCACTTGTCCCAACCGATCGATGCAGCCTTTACGGGTGATATTTGTCTTTGTACACACACATATATACGCAAAGTCCTTCATCCAGCAGTGGATCGATCATGCCTGACGACGACGATGATGACGATGATGATACACGCACATACTGTTGGGACAAAGTGCTGTTAGCGAGAGCACGCGTGTGTGCGCGCGCACACCGTGACATAAGCCTATACACATTTGTCGGAGATGGATGTTAAAGTTCAGTAGGCTATGCAAGTTTAGGAAGCTACTACGGCTATTGACGTGGTTCTCGCTTTGCGACGAGGTGCAACGTCTCGGCTGAACGCGTGAGTTTGGCGAATCGTGGACAACACCTCGGAATGTTCGGTGGCACAGATGACCACGGGTGCGAACGTGACAAAGATAAACACCCCCCCCCCCCCCGTATAGCCATTAATAGACTGTTAGATCAAGTGCCGTTAGCGAGTAGCAACCTATGATGTGACAATGCCGGCACACACGAGGGTGTGGCTGGCTAGCACCACGCCCGAACGCCTTTGTCTCCCCAGTGGCGACGTTTTTGTTGTCCTTCCTCCGAATGGCATGGTTGGCTACGTACGGTGCGAAAGAAGTTCAACATGCATATATCGCACTAGTTACTCATTTAAGGCTGAGTCGACCTAGAGGAAGACCAAGACCGGTTCAGATAATCGTCACTGGTGCTGGCCGTGAGCAGGAATCCAACTCGGGCGGCTGGGTTCGTAGCGCAGCGCGATAACCCCCCCCCCACACACACACAAGGTACACGTACACACAGATGCACCTGGAATACACAAAGAAGCACGCATTTAGACATGCGGACTCACACAAGCAGACACGGCGACAGACAGAGATATACATACAGATGGGCATACAACAGACGCAGGCGTGTAGACACACTCGCCGGTAGTATATACGACACAGAACGATGCAATTACAAATATGCCCCCCCTCCCATATAGATTTAACAGAAACGTTAGGGAAAGTGCTATGCGCGGCATGACACACGAGTGCATATGCACGACCAGCATCATCACGCGCCCGGCCGTCTTTGTATACCCTAGTCGCACCAGGTACTCAATTAAGGCTGAGCCGACTTAGAGGAGGCCCAGGACAGCTCCCCCCCCCACCCACCACCACTACACACACACACAGTGACTGACTGACTCACAGCCCACACACACACACGCGCGCGCGCACCTTCATCATCCTCGCTGGCCTTCCCAGCCGCGTCGTGCGTGAAGCCCTCGTAGGCGTTGCCCCCTCCCGTGGCCGCTCCTCCCGTGGCGCCGGGGCCGTAGCCCGCGGCTCCGTAGCCGCGCTGTCCGGGGAACGCCTTGGCAGCGCCGTAGCCCGCGTGAAGAGCATCCGCGCCGCGCCCCAGCTGGTGGTACGCGTAGGGGCTCAGCGGGGTCTGGTTGTAGGCGGCGACGGCGGGCGGGCAGTAGGGTCCGTACGCCTGGTAGGCGCTCGAAGGAGACGGGTGGTAGTAGCAGCCGGAGTCGGTGGAAGACGACTCGGGCAACGTGGGCGAAGACTGCGCCTGCGGGTGATGATGGTGATGGCTGTGGTGCTGCGGGTGATGATGATGCTGCTGCTGCTGCTGGTGAAGGTGTTGGTGGTGTTGGTGGTGGTGGTGGCTCAGTCCGTACACGTCGGCGTCCCTCTTCATAAAGTCCGGCCGCGGGTCGGCTGAACTGCACTCGAACACCTCCGTCATTGTGACGTGTGACAGACCAACGACGGCAGAGTTCGCAGGCGGGCGGGCGGGCGGGCAGGCGGGCAGGCGCGCCTGTGTCCGTCCGTCTCAGTGTTTGTGTGCGCGCGTCAATGGAAGAGCGAGCCTCGTGTACAACAGGGGTGCGGGGGCTGGGCTGTGCCGTGTGGTTCCCGCTCGCTGTTCGGCACGAGAGGGCCCCCGTGGCTCGGGTACTGGGGTCTGGGTCGGGGTGCTCGCGAGGCGCGGCCCCTTTTATCGGGGGCAGAGCAGAGCGGAGCGCCTCCTCATTGGCCGAGGCGGCGGCGGCGGCGGCGGTGGTGGCGGCGGCACGGCGGCGGCCCCGAGGCTGTGCGCGCTCCCATTACCACACACAAAGACAAAGGTCCCCCGTGTAGGCTTAACAGACCGGTGGGGCAAGTGCTGTGAGAGAGGAGCTATGAAAGGGGTTAGGGGGTGGGGCGGACACGAGGCGGGTGGGTGGCTAGCACCACGCCCGGCCGCTTTTGTTTCCAAAAGTTATAATGTGTGTGTCTGTTTTTTTGCACACCGCATTCGGTACTAATTTTAGGCTCAGTCGATCTAGACGAGACCCACCCAGGACCGGTTTAGATCATTGTCACTGGTGGTGGTCGTGAGAGGAACTCGAACTCGGGTGGCCGGGTTCGTGAAGCAGCGCTTCACGACCGCTCCCCACACACATGTTCGCATGCACAAATAAACAGACCGTCGGGGCAATTGTTGTTAGCGAGCACATTTGAAGGCCAACACGGCACACGAGCGGGTGGGTGGTCAGCACCATTCCCGGCCGTCTTTGTATCCCAAGTGGTATTGTTTTTTCACCAGATACTCATTTAAGATTGAGTCGATATTGGCCCTGAGCCGGAATCGAACTCAGGTCGCCGGGTTCGCTGAGCAGCGCGCTAACCACTACGCTCCCGCGCCCCATACACATGCTACACATATACATACTACACTTATGCAAACTGTATATACACGCACACACAAAGGCACACATATACAGTGCGTACATATATGTAAATAACTACGCAAAACGCACATACGTATACACACGTCTGTGACTCAAAATAAAGGAAAACGTGAGTGTGTGATGAGTGTGTGATTGTGTGTACGAGGCAGTCTGTGTGTGTGTGTTTGGGTCAGTGCAAAGTGTACGAGATATTGTGAGTGTGTACGGAGCATGAGTGAGGTGAGTGTGTGATTGTGCGAGTATATAGCGTGCGCGTGTAATTGTATTCGTGAGTGTAAAGTGTGCGTGTGATGTGTTAGAGTGTGTGTAACAGAACTTGCCCGACAGTCTGTTAAGGCTATACGGGAGGTCTTTGTCTTTGTGTGTAATGGAGCGGCGGCGCCAGTGGTGAGCGCACTGCGCTACGAACCCGGCGACCCGAGTTTAATTTCGACTCAAGACCAATAAAAGTGGCGATCATCTGAACTGGTCGTGGGCCTCCTCTAGCTCGATTCAGCCTTAAAGTACCTGGTGCAGTGTGTAGTAAACATTTATACTGGGGATACAAAGGCGGTCGGGTGTGGTGCTGGCCACCCACACTCTCGTGTATCGTGCCAGTCTTTATAGATGCTCGCTAACAGCACTTGCCCCAAAGGTCTTTGAAGGCTATAAGGGGGAACTTTGTTTTATGTAATGGAGAATGTATTTCAAAGTTTAAATGAGGTGTCGGAATCAATGTGTATGTGTGTCAAAAATAGAGTTTGATTACGTGTGTATGCGAGTGCAAAACGCGTGTGTTGAGTGTGTACGTGTTTTATAGTGTAGTATAAGTTTGTGTGAGAGTGTAAAGGGTTTCTTGTATTGCGTGTGTGAGAGATAGCGGTGTGAGTCTGCGTTTGTGTAAAGTCATCTCAGTCAATCAACCCATGGCAGATGGGTCTGACCCATGACCTCCTGCCAGCGGGCGTTCGATACTCCACGTGACCTTAAAGTGCACCTAGCCTGGCACTAGCCCCGTGGTGGCGTCACCGCCACTTCGTGTTGTTTTTGAAGTGAATGTGGGAGAGAGTACGTGTGAGTGTGTCACATCGTGTGCACATGAGTGTATCTGTGTGCGTTGTTTGAGCCGACCTACCGGAGGCCCAGGACAGGTTCAGACACCACTCGCCACTGATGTTATCCACGACCAGGAATCGAACTCAGCCTTCGCAGCGCGGTGCGCGAAACACTGAACCACCGCAACAAAGACAAATATTGCCCTGAAGGATTCGCAGACTGTTGGGACAAGTGCTGTTAGCGAGCACCTCTGAAGGCCGGCACGGCACACGACGGGGTGGGTGGCCAGCACCACGCCCGGCCGCCTTTGCCTAATGTTTTTTTTATACACCACACCAGATATTCCCACTCGCGGCCAACACAGTGACGATTATCTTGAGTTTGGTCTCTCCTAGGTGTACTCAGCCTAAAATTAGTACCTGGTGTGATGTGTAAACATCACCACTGGGGAAACAAAGGCGGCCGGGCGTGGTGCTGGCCACCCACCCCTTCGTGTGCCGCACCGGCCTTCAAAAGTGCTCGCTAACGGCATTTGCCCCAACAGTCTGTTAAGACTATACGGGGGTTCTTTGATGCGTATGTGTGGATGAGAGTGTGTGCACGTGTGTGGGAGAGTGTGTGAGAGTATGTACGTGGAGTGTCGTGCGTCCCTTCTTTGTTTACTTGCTCGAGGCTCGTGTGTGTGCGGGTGGCGTGCGTCGCACACACACACTCAGTCGGAGACGAGGTGGTCGCAGGAGGCACCGTCCTCCCCGTTTATTGTTGTTGAATTCACGCCACCAACTCGGGCCCCCCTCTCTCTCTCTCACGACCACGCTGCCGTACGACCCGGCCCAGACACGACCCCTGACCGCGTTGCACCGACGGCGTCGACCGCGACAGCCAATGACTGTCCGGCCGCGCAATGATCGGGCGAAGGCGGCGGCGACGAAGGCGGTGACGACGACGACAGAGACGAAGAAACGAGTCCACTCCCAGCACCGGCGGCCTGGAGCTCTCGCTCTCCGCTGCTTTTATTCCCCTCGGCGCGGCTTGGCTCCGCCCTAGCGGCGCCTCCCTTCTCGAACCCACCAGAGGGTTCCAGGGGCCTCCCCACGAGGTCTACCGTGACCCTTGCCTCAGTTCCTCCGCCATGCCGGCACACACACACCGCGTATGTGCTGAACTGCGTGTGTGCTAAGTGACCACCTGCAGTTGCGGCTGCTGTACAACAGGCAGCACTATGTCACTGCATCTGCATGCTAGTATGTGAGTATTGTTGTCCGTATGGATGTATGTACGTGTGTGTATTGTTGTATGTTTGTACCTGTGGGATTATTTTCTGACAAACCGGTGTAAATTTAAATTGATTACATTTAACGCGTGTGTGCAACCCCTGGTATCAATATACTGTAGGCCTATATGCCTTTTAGTTTCTTGAATTGGCAGGACCCTTGTTAAATAGTCTTGAGACTCACTGAAGACTTATTGCGTAAACACGCGTCGTTATAATAACAAGAATGTTTAGCAATGACTCTAGAGGGAGATAACGATTTAAAAAAAATGTGGAATAAGACTATTTAACTTTTTAAAAACAGGCCACGGTGAGATTGTGGCTATACAACCAAAACTATGGACCGTATAGTGAACCCATAGAAATACACAGAGATACATAGACGCACTCATAGATATACATACATCCCTCGTATAGATACATTGACGAGAGACCACAGTAGTTGCGATTGTGGCAATGCAACCAAAACCTTGGACGGTTGAGTTATCCACTGTAGTCTTACCATCCTTCAATGGAGGAGGAGGAACAGCAAAACTCCACCAACTTTCTCTTCCTCTCCTGAAGCCCTCTCATCGTGGCCAGGAGACCTCGGCATTGGCATTTAGGATTCTGAACATAATTGCTGCCATACGCAAGCGTAGACTAGATTGTAACTCTCAAATAACGAGATAAACACGACGCCTGTGGAAGGTATTTCGAGTTTAACGAGTGCAAGTGTTGTTGGCGCAGTGATTTGCACACTGCGCCAAGAACCCCGCAAATCTGGCCACCCGAATGCGATTCCCTGCCACGGCTAACATCAGTAGCGAGTGATGCCCAAGCCGCTCCTGGGCCCCCACCTTCACCAACGCGCACTGACCTCGTAACGGTGGCGGATGGATCCAACAATCCACGTGAGCAACTTGACATGGGAGGTGGCCTTCGTCCAGCGTGGGATTGACAAATGGCTTTGAAATGATGATGGTGGTGATTGTTATTATTCACGCGTGTTGACGCAGGACCTGCGTTGTATTAATCAATTGTATCTGGTAGAGGCGTGTCCTTCGCAGCATCATGTGCATTTGTAGAACTATAGTAATATTCAGCGCCCGCAGTCCTAATGAACATGTACCCTAAATAAATACTTCAGGGTACAATTTTTCAGGCCAAGCGGAGGGGCAGGGTGATCGACGAATTTTTAACTGTACAGTGCAGTCTTCAACAATTATCATTATTCATTCTCATGCCCCTGGTATCTCTGTGTGATAGGAAGTAGGGGAATTGCCCGAAACGTCTGTGTTGGGTTTTGTGATGGCCTGAGAAATCTGTGGTCAGGGTAAGAGAGTTGACAAAAGTCTGGATTGAGTAGCCAGCCACAAACAAACAATGCCACATATGTAGCATTAACGAGTTTAATCTAAAACCTATTTACTTCTCTAATTATCCATCCGTGTCTATATTTCTCTTGACAGATCACCATCATCAGCAGCAGTAGCGGCCATGAACAATCCACTGCTGGATGAAGGCCTCCCAAAGCCATCATGATCCTGCGATGCAACAATCGACTTCGCACAGGTACACGAGCTGGTACACAGGTACACGAGCTGGTACACGAGCTGGTACACAGGTACACGAGTTGGTACACAGGAATACGAGCTGGTACACAGGTACACGAGCTGGTACACAGTCACACGAGCTGATACACAGGTACACGAGCTGGTACCCGAGCTGGTACACGAGCTGATTCCATCGCTCCATCTCCCCGGCATAAACTAATTCGCAGACGCGCTCCATTCCTAGACAGCCTCTCCTTCACTATTCCTGACCTCACCATCATCCATCATTCGTGGCTGAGCCGGCTTATTCTACCTTCACTCACGTGACTGCGCGCACGTTCGTCCGTGTTATTATAATAATAATGTACAGCCCCCTTGTCAAATCCACTGCTGGGATGAGGTGACTCCGCACGCCGCATCA